TCGGCGGGGCTGGCGGGGGACGGAGCTGCTCTGACTGCTCTCAGGGGTGCGGGGAGAGGACTTTAATTTTCACAGCTCAGTGCCACACCTGAGCGGGCCCTGCTGCCCCGGCCTGGCCCCGCGCGCCTCTCTCCAAGCCCCCGGCCGCTCGTCCTAATAATAGCCGGGCGGCGCTGCTGGTCGGGGGGGTGAGTTATCTTGAAGGATCGCTGAGTTCAGCCAGGGCGTTGGTTCTTTTTTCTTTCAGGTTTCCTTTGTTTACGTGTGTAATCCAAAGCAAGAGTTGTACTTGTCACCTCTTCCTTTCAGCTCTTGAAGGAGAAGTGAGAAGATGGTGAATGTTCTGAAAGGTGTTCTGATTGAATGGTTAGTAACAGCACTTACAGTCTCTTGTTGTGTCGAAGTCTACTTATTTCTTTAGAGCTGGAAATACTCTAAGTAACTTAAAAGTCTAGATAAAAAAAAGGAATTGTTGTGAGGAGGGGTGATGCTGAACAAGCAGACAAAAGAAAAATGTGGCCTTTGGGGGAAGAAGGAGAGAGGCAATTGTAGGTAATCCTAATTCCAAACTCCTTTTTTCTTTTCAAGATACTGTTTTCCGCTTATGCTTAACCATTAGACGTTCCCTCTTGCTCCTTATATTGCTTACAAATAATGCGGGTTTTTTGTTGCTGTTCATGTTCAATGTGTTTCTTTACTGATTCTAGAGGGAGATAGATAACCTTTCATCCTTTCTTTCCTGTCTTTTTTTCAACTCCAGTCCAAATTCTGTTGAAGGCTCACATGTGTCTCTGTTTGTAGATCATACTCAAAAGTAATATGCTTGTCATTTGTAAAAGTAAGCTTTTGATGTATGTGCAGTAAACATGTTCTCATGCAATCTGAAGTCTCTAGGCTAAGAATCAGATAACTGGTTACCTCCAAAGTAAAAAGAAGCATCAGTCAAGATTTGTGGGGTCATTGCATCATATGACATATAAGATTTCTGCTGTACGCTTAGACTGTAAACATATTAACAGATTATAACTGCACAAAAGCAGAAGAACTTTGAACCTCTTGTGATGTGCCTGCATGGTACATATAGCTGTGAGCTTGCAGCAGCTAACTTCTGAGCTGACTGGACATTAGCCAGCTGAAGTCTGGATGTCTAATGGCTATGTGTGAGCAGTTCAGAGCCTAAACTCTGCTATAACAAAAAGCCTGTCTTCTCAAATTTGGCTCCATGCTAGTACATTAACAAACCTTCTGAAGCATAAGAAATTGCCTGCCTGCAGCTAACTATGTAAAGATGCCCAGAGCAGAATTCTTGACTGACAAGGCAAGAAGTCCTAAAATCTCAAGCAGTTAGCAAAATATTTTATTTTGCGCCTTATGTGTTTATTTTACACATACCTAAAGATCTGTGTGTTTTTATTCAGCTCCATGGCCACATCCCACTTAGTGTTAGCATGGAACTTAATCGTTCTCCCTGGAAGGGAAGGGAATTTTCTGTCTGATAACAAATCTACAGCATTTGTTATGCCATCAGATGGTTTCAACAGCCCCCTGGGAAACTGACCTTTGAGTTGGTTTTGCTAGCTCTTGGTGGTTTGGTTTTGTTTGTTTGTTTTCTCCCCACCTTTGCATAAGGGTAGTCCATGACTGGGCCCAAAATTCCATCCTAGGAGAAGATGCAGATTTACTATAAACCTGTCCCCTTGTTTACACTTCAGATACAAGTTTTTTTAAAACCCAATTTTCTGAGAATGTTTAAGATACCAAATGGATAGGGAGTGGAAAAAACAATAGACAGTTCTGAATGTCTAAATTATGCAAATAAAATAGTGAAATGTTGTGCAGGTCTTTTTTCCATATTCTTCCAATACATAGCTAAACTTTTCTGAAGACATCATATCAAGGATTATAATCTTCAAGTACTGTAATGAGATCATTGTTTCTGCTGTGACATACATCTACGGGCGCTGATTACAGCTCTGAATGTTGATTGTGTGAAACCCAGTTTCTGGATACTGCCTAACATCATACAAGCTGATCGTACCAGCTAGGACAAAAGCTTGTGCCATCTAGTGCTACTAATGTGAGTCACTAAGGTCCAGCTGAATAAAACAAGCAAAACATAAACCTCCCTGCACCCATCCAAAAGGGGATGTGGAAGAATGCTGGGAACCACATACTTCTGGTATCTGATTTTTCTCAGCTCTTCTGTTTCTCCTTTGTTTCTCTTCTTACATGCCAGACCACATAAATAATGGCTCTTCTAAAGGAGATATTGCTTCCAGACTTTCCCATTTTCCTTTCCTCAAAATTACTTTGTACTTTGAAAACTCATCTTACTCCAGTCACGCTTCTGCAGGTTTGAGGCTAATATTAAAAATTGTCTTTTGAGTTGCTGGGTAGGGGGCAGGGGAAGGGTTTGGTTTCATAGTGCATGTCTTTGCACCATATATACTTTTAGGTAAGGGAGAATTGGTCCTCATACTGCATTTAAAAGAGAGAAGGTTAGCCAAAGAATTCTTTTAAGATTTACTATGTTATTAAGAATTCTTTTTAAGGACTACTGTGTTGCCAAAACAACTGTTGGTAATTTTGAAAGTGTCCTGAGCTACTTGATTCCAATTTCCTGTATTTCTTGCGCATATTCTTCACCAGTTGTTGCAATCAAATACTAAGTTTTACCAAAGAGCATGATTTTTCCTGTTTTGTAAAAACTAGTATCAGAATATTTTCTGAATTCTTCAAAATTTCAACAGATCAAAGAGCTTATATTTTGAAGCCATTTTATCTAGCTGCTTAGTATAATGCAGCTGTTTCAGTTACCTGTAATTTCCATAGTTCCAAAATGTTTTCTTTTAAACACTGAAATGTAACTTACAAGGTGGCATCATGAAAAAGAAGAGACTGTTCAGTTACGGTGTGATAAATGTACAATTCATACATGACCACTTTTTCTCTCTGCTATACTATGAGTGAGGTCTATGTTCTCCTGGGTTTTGGTTACCTTTAAACAAAAATATGTTTTAAGAAAACATGTTTTTATGGTGCTATTTCTGAAGATAGAAATGTAAGTTCAAACTTGCTTCATTAAGGGTTGGTTTGGGTTTTTTTTAAGCTACTTTAACAGCAGCATAGGGGCACTTCTCTGCCAATCAAGTAGCCAGGTTTTTTTAGACTTTGTTATCAGTTTATTTTTATCTCTAAAGTAACCCAAGCAATTACTGTTGTGAAAGAAACAACTTTTTCAAAAGCTTCATAAACTTCCTTTAAATTGTGAGCAACTCTTGAAATTAATATTAATCTCCCAAAGAACTTTGGGAGTGTCTTCAAAGGGTGAGGGGTTTTTTTGTTTGTTTTTAACTGTATCTTATTACAATGAGGTGGGATGTGATGTGTGTTTGTCTCTACAGTGACCCAGCAATGAAGCAGTTTCTGCTCTACTTGGATGAGTCAAATGCATTGGGAAAGAAGTTCATCATACAAGACCTGGATGAAACTCATGTCTTTGTATTAGCCGAGTTGGTTAACTTCCTCCAGGAGAGAGTGGGCGAGTTAATGGACCAGAACTCTTTTCCTATTACTCAGAAGTAAAAAGACCAGAGAAATGAGATTACTGCGAGTTTTGGAATAGTGAATTTCAATAGCTTGGGTTGTTACTGTTTTAATAGATACACTGTGGTTAGTAAGTTCTACATGAAAGTGGCTGCTCTAGAAAATGGATCATTTTCATAGACGAAATACTCTTGAATTGGATTTTATTTCTCATTTTGAAAGATTATGGTATCTTTATTAAAATCCTTAAAATGATACACTTGAGGACTTGCCTAGAGAATTTTTGATGCATGCTCTCTGTTTTTCCTTTAGGATTTTTATCTTGCAAGATGGTATGACCCAAAAATTAGAGTATTGTTTCTGTATTGGAATGCTATATGAACTCCTCTGACATGTTACATTCCTGTGGAATTGATTAAATATGGTTATAGTGTGACTGATAAAATGTAAAGAATGTCTGTTAAAGTATGATCTGTGCTTGATGGAACATCTCCATAAGTTGAAGCCATGGTCAGATACTGCTTTAACTTAATGGGTTTTGTACACCAAAATGAAAGTTGGTGTGAGTTTTCTTTTTGTTTTGTGGGGAGTTTTTTGGGGTTCTGTTTGTTTGTTTTTTCCCCAACATTTTACAGATGCCCCATGCTACTTGCCTACTTTTACCAAGGCTATGCTTTCTGTGGTGTTCTGGGTTTGGGGAGTGGTGGTTGGGGACTAGGAGTTTGGAGGGGAGGGGGATATAGGGGGATGGGGACAACAAAATCCATTACCCCAGATCATCACATTTTAATTGTAAACTGATTACTTGCATATCAACAATAGCAGATTAAAGGGGTAACAGAAATGGGAGACCAATCCTTTAGATATAATTGCTTGTATTTTTCCACTGAAGCTAATAACCTAGTCACAATAAGCTATGTGATCAGGAAGGGGAAATAAAGACTTGGTTGCTCTACCTGTGAAGAAGCTGGCAAGCTGGTTTTGGTTTTTTTGGGTTTGTTGTTGGTTGGGGTTTTTTGTTTTGGTTTTTTTTCAGCTTAGCTCTTCCTCCCCTATTGCACTTCGCTGCAAAGAAAAAGCCTCATAGTTTCATAGGGTTTTTTTACACTGTATTTGTAACTCACTATCTCGGACACTTGCTTATTTAGTAAGTCAGCTAGTGCATGATGATAAAACCTGTGAAGATTTCTGTCTACAGATATGGCAGATACAGATTACGGAAACAAGAAGAATAACATGTATTACCTTTTCTCTTATCCTACTTCCTACTCAAAATAGTCAAATTTATTGGATCTATAGGTAATCATTTATAAATGAAAGACTTCTAGGCTATTACTTCAAAGGGAAGCTTGGTTTTCAGAGCTGCTCATGTACATCAGGTAGATGCCATCTTTTTATCTTTGGGGGAAAAACAAATGTAAATAGAAAGGCTTTTATAAGGAGCAGTTTTCTTTACTGACTCTCCCATCGTTGCTTTTTTTCTTGTCCAGTAGATATCAGATTATTTCATAGAATAGAATCATAGAATCATTGAGGTTGGAAAAGACCTCTAAGATCATCGAGTCCAACCGTCAACCCAACACCGTTGCTTTTTTTCTTGTCCAGTAGATATCAGATTATTTGGTGGTTTTGGTTTTGTTTTGTTTTTTTCCCAGGAATAGGGAAGCTTCAGGAGAAAGTTTCATTAGCTGTTTTTAATTAAAAAGCTGTCCAAAGAAAGTTCTGCAGAATTGCGTGTATTCCGGCTCATGTGGATGAGCAAATAGCCCTGTGGAATTTAGCTTCATGTAGTTTCTGGTACACCCCCCCCACCTTCTCTCTGACAATGGGTTTTGATCCAAGTTGTTAATCTCTTTCTTTTACAAGTGGATGCTTCCCCATGAATCGTGTAGATCTTGATCATGTAACCAGCTACACAACTTCACTTGAAATAAAAAGTTCAGATCTTTTATGGATGGCTTATGGTTCCTTACCTCTTTCTTGAGATTGGTCAAACATTGATCTTATAACTGTTCTTTTGTGGAAGATTATTGGATGCTCATTTAATGGAGAGATAATCAGTAGTCTTAACATGGCATGATAGCTTAATGCAATTTATTTAAAAGTATCTGATATCCTTTCTTTAGAATCCTAGTTCATTTTCCATCCAGATCTTGATGCAAGGTAAATGATCCCTCACTCTCCTTTCAAATGACAGTATTTGAAAAGTCACGTTAGAATTACACCTGTTAAACTTCTCTCTATTTAGCATGTCTAGCGCTACATTTCTATTGTGATTTTCCTTTTAAGTCTATGATAAAGTTCTTGCAGTTCTTGTCTTTTTCTCCTGGTTAATTGTACAGCTTTATTGTTGTATTGCCTGTGTTTTAGCTTATATTTGCAGTTATATTTGCAGTGATAAATGGCTTATATAATACAGAGGAATAGAAGTTCCAAACTGTATAAACTAAACAGTTAGGCATGCATTCTTATTACTCTCAATCTTTTTCGAGCAAACATATTTATAGATTTTTAACTTCTAAACCTGTCAAGACAGATCCTTCCTGCAACCTAACCAGGCCTAACTGATTCCATGCTGGAAGAATAAACAAAAGATGTAAAGCAACAAATTGCTATCTTCTTATGGGGTTTAAGGAGCTGAGTGCTTTGTAGTTTCTAGGGGAAAAAAGGGTATTGAATCATGTATATGGTGAAGGAAATCCAATGAGGAAGCTTTTAGAAGTTCAGTATGTGGAGTTTTTAAAAAAAAAAAAAAAAAAAAAACACAAAAACAAAACACCCAAGGGTTTCTGGGGTTGAATACCTAGTATATCTAGGTTAAACAGCTTCTCTATATATATATATAGATATAGATATATCTTCCAGACGGGACAAAAGTAAATACTAACTATAAAAATATCAAGACATTTTGAGATAGTTAACATTTACACTTACAGATTTTAAATGTTTTCGCTGGCTTTCATTCAGGTGTGAAATATTATTGGTGAGTGGAGCTCAGAATGAAACATTGTGTTAAGAATATCTTATTTTTTTTAAAGGCTGGAAGCATTTGAGAATAAAAGGTTAAGGAGATCTGTTTAAATAGATACATGTTTTGCTGATAGATTTGGTATGGTGAGAACATCAGCTCTGACTGTATTTGGAATATTATATGTTAATTTAACATTTCTTTCCATAGCTAGTAAGTTCACTTTTTGCTGGTGTCTAGCATAGGGACTATATTCTGCTCAGGTCCTGCTTGAGCAGCAAAATAGGGCTTGAATGACAGACTTCTTGTTGCAGCAGCAAATTTTATCTTGATGGGCTTTCACTGCTAAGGGTTGAGCTGGTGCTTCACTTTTTGCTTTCAGTCTGAGTTGAAAGTATCTTGTCTGCTGGAGGAAGAGCATGGTAGAATAATTACCTAAAGGACACTTACTTGAACTGCATTTCTTATTTGCTAGCTTGCAAGTTCACTTGTTTGTGTTTTGTGATGTAAACAGTTGCTCTTGCGTAGTTACTGTAACTTTGAACAGGCTTATAAATACCACTTTCATTAACACAAATGCAGAAGCTAAAGAGTAATATTTGACAGAAAGGTGAGAGAGATCTCTAAAGCAAGGTAAGAAAATTTGAACAATGCAAACAAAGTATTTATGTTAAATGGGAAGGGAGGGGTGGAAACTGAAAATGCAGCTTCCTATTAAAATAAAACAATAGCACTTCATTTTTTTTTAATTGAAAATTACACTATTTGGTGTTTTGGTTTTTGTTCAAGCATCAGATTTTTTTTTTAATTTTATTATGGTCTTCAAAGAAAGCTGTGTAATATGACCATAGTGTACCACAAAAGCAAATAAGCCTAAATGCTGTCACGTATTTAGATACTTTTAGAAATTGTGGGATAAGCTAATTCTGGAGGATTTTTTTTTTTTTTAACATGGGGGTTGGCAGCACAAGGAAGATGACCCTGAGTTAGTCAGTATAGATAGGGATTATAATGAATTTCTTAGCCTGTTACCAATGCATAAGTCCCCTTTCCTTCTCTCCGGTACAACAGTTAGCCTAGGGAGAATAATTGTCCAGTGCAGTGCAGGAGGAAATAACCAACAATCAATAGAGAGAATGGATGTGGCCTCAAGAAAGAAAACTGTGTTGAAAGAAAATAGAGACTGCTTCAGGGAATTTCACCGTTTTACCTGAGAGAACCCAGATTGAGTGGATTTGACTTTGTAGCTAAACTGCCAGTGTTGTTTCATAAAAAAGTAGGCATCTGAATCCATTTGGAATTAAGAATGGTAGAGTGTTTTTGTTTGTTTAGAAATTTACTGTGCTTACAGTGATAGTTTGGTTTTTGTTTTATGTAGCACAGTGCTGAGAGCTAGATGGCTAGTGTGATGTGCTGTACAAAAACTTCTCCAAGTGCTGTTGTACATTAAGAAATCCTATTTTGCAGTCTTTCCAGAATTGTAGGGTGTATTCAAAAGCATATCTTCTGATTATTTTTTTTTTAATGTGGCATAACAACAGATTTTACCGTTTTTTCTCACTCAAGTTAACTCTGTAGGGCCACCTCAAGTATGCAAGAACAAACTAGCGAACATGTATTTTATGCATTAACAGGATTGTTTACTGTGAGCTGAAGTAAACAGGATTGTTTACTGTGAATTGGAGATAATGGTATTTCATGGTGTCATTAAAATGACTTATTTTAACTTAGTTGGCGTCGTCACCATAAAAGTGTCCAATTTCTGTCAGCCCCTAGGTTGAGCTTGCAAAAGTAGGGCTCTAAAAACCATATATATATATATATATAAAAAAAATCAATAAGTCTTTAATCATCTAAACCAACACAGGCTGAGAGGTATATTTGCTCTTCCAACCGGGCAGTAGGCCATTGAAGAAAACAGTAGGCTTTTGTAATAAATCTTTTTGCAGTTCCCAGTTCCACAGCAGATTCTGATCCTTTTCCCACGCTGACTCGTTGATTATCCCACAAATGACCCCATTAAAGCTGGTGGTGGTTACTGTGAAATGAGGCATTACTCAGTATGTCAGAATTGGGTGTCCATGTTTGTTTTGCAATTCAGACTTCGGCAAGGCTTACTTTTATGTGCTATACAAAATTAAGGATTCAATAAATTGGTGAAGTTCATACTGATGGAAGAACAAATTATTCCTAAACTCAGTCATTATCTTTGGTCTTATGACTTAATAACTAATAAGAAATTTAAAAAATAGGGTCTCTGATAGAAATATGATGTGGAGCTTTTTTT